GAATATTGTGAGTTTATATGATTTGAATAATGATATATTTGTTGTTTCATCATCATCATCCAAGCATATGCACCAACTGAGCAAGCAGAACCAACAGTACTCGAAGCATTCTATTATGAGTTGTCAGTGGCTATAAAAAATAATGCGGATAAACATATAGTCCTAATGGGCGACTTCAATGCACAAGTCGGAGAAAGGAAAAACAATAACGAATATGTACTTGGCAAGTTCGGGCACGGTAAGAGAAGTCGAAACGGCCAAAAGCTGGTTGAATTCTTAATGGAACACAATCTATTCATCCTCAATACGAACTTTAAGAAGCACCACAACAATAAATGGACTTGGGTATCCCCAGATGGTACATATAAAAATGAAATTGATTACATAATAAGCAATCACCCTAAAGCGTTTACAGATACTACGGTTATTAGCAAACTTAATTTTAACACAAATCACCGAATGGTGAGATGTTCCCTTAGAAAGTGTCGAACAAAAACCCCTCGCAGCCACATAAAAAGCCATAAAAACGAAAAGCAAGCACAACTCAACTTAGAAAACACAAAGCCTCTCAAGAAAGTAAATGAACAAATCACAAATAATAATATGAACACAATTCAGAAATATAACATCCTAGAAAGGGAACTACAAAGCAGTTTCTCTAAAGAAATCAGTCCAAAAAACAAATATCAACTAAGCGCACAGACAGTGCAATTAATCAACGAAAGAAAAGAACTAATCCAAAAAGGAACAAAAAAAGACAACATAATACTTATCACTGATATTAGTAAAAAAATAAGAGAAAACATAAGAAAGGATCGTAAAGTCAAGAGATTGATGACTCTAGAATACCACATTAAAAAGACGGGAGGTGTGAAGAAAGCTTTGAAGGAATTGCGAGAATCTGGCAAAGAGTGGATACCTAAAATAAAAAGAAAGACCAACAACGTCACCTCGATACGCCAAGGTATCAAAGATCGAGCCACAAGCTTCTATCGACAACTGTATACTAAACAAGAAGAGGATGCATCAAATGATCACAACGAGACCAAAATACCATATGAATCGAATTTTGACCCTACACCTGAAATTCTAACATGCGAAGTCGAAAAGGCAATCAATAGCCAAAAGATGGATAAATCTCCTGGCCCAGACAAAATAACGAATGAACTGTTGAAAGGAACTATAGAAGAATTGGTGCCCATTCTTACAAGAATCTTTAACGACATTCTACTAACTGGCAATATTCCTAGGCAATGGTCAGAATCTCATATCATCTTATTACATAAGAAAGGAGACAAAGAAGACATAGAAAACTATAGACCTATTTGTCTGACATCCAATGTATACAAAGTCTTCTCAAAGATAATACTAGACAGAATCAGCCTTAAATTAGACGAACAACAACCAGTCGAGCAGGCAGGATTTAGAAAGGGATTTTCAACCATTGACCATATACATACTGTTAAACAAATACTTGAGAAATACAACGAGTACAATAAGGATATATTCATAGCCTTTATAGACTACGCCAAGGCCTTTGATAGCTTGAGTCATGAGTATATTTGGGAAAGCCTAGAACACCAAGGAATACCAACCATATATATCAAAATTATAAAATGCATATACTCCAATATCAAAGCTAGGATTCGGCTAGAGACATTGGGAGGTGAATTTCAAATACAAAGAGGTGTGAGACAAGGGGACCCACTTTCCCCAAAATTGTTTTCCGCAGTACTGGAAAATTTATTCCGTAAACTAAACTGGGAAGAATATGGCATTAGTATAAACGGATCTAGAATGCACCATCTCAGATTCGCCGACGACCTAGTGCTACTAGAAGAATGCCCCAAAAAGCTAGAATATATGATACAAAATCTAAGAGAAGAAAGTATAAAAGTCGGACTAAAATTGAACACTACTAAGACAAAATTAATGACAAACTCCCGAAAAACCAACATCAGCATTAATAACGAACTATTGGAGTATGTGGAAGATTATACTTATTTGGGTCAAGTCATCTCAACCAAAGATCAAATGACAAAAGAAATCAACTTCAGGATCGCTACTGGATGGAGGAAATACTGGTCGCTCAAGGAAATAATGAAGTCAAAGGACCTGAGCATGTCACTGAAGAGAAAGACCTTCAACTCATGTATCCTACCATGCTTAACATACGGCTGCGAAACATGGGCCCTTACTAAAATATTAAGGGAAAAGCTTGCCATAGCCCAAAGAGCAATGGAAAGGAGCATGACAGGATGTAAACGACAGGATAAAGTGAGAAATATGGACCTGCGTCTAAAAACTAACCTCACCGACGTATTGAATCGAATCGATCAGCAGAAATGGAGATGGGTAGGTCACATGATGCGGGAAAATAAAGGGAAATGGAGCAAAGCTGTTACAGAATGGTACCCAAGGGATGGACGCAGAAGCCGAGGAAGGCAAAACATAAGATGGGAAGATGAGATCAGGTTGACAGTGGGACCATTGTGGAGAAGGGTTGCTCAGGACAGACAACAATGGAAATCGTTGGAGGAGGCCTATGCCAAAAGGCACACCGAATTAAGAGACATAGTGTAACTAAAATCATGTAACATGAAAATGAACCTGTGTAATCTCTTACTTTGGTATAAGGGGCTATATATATATATATATATTTGTTGTTTTGTGTTGTGAAAAAACAATGCTAAAAAACAGTAACTCAAATCATTAAAGAAAGCAAGGTACAAGAAATGTATGTATGTCATTGTATACAATAGGATATTGTCAGTAGAAAATTTACTAAAAAAAAAACAATCATACCTTGGTCATCCAGGTTCTATAATTTTTAATAGCAACACTAAATACCGTTCTTAAGATTCAAGAATGCCTTGAGCAGAGTACAATAGAATTTTCGTAATAGGTATATTCTAGAAGAAAATAAATTTTAATATAATTTAGTCATACATATTGGCATGTGTGTTGGGCCCTTACTAAAATATTAAGGGAAAAGCTTGCCATAGCCCAAAGGCCAATGGAAAGGACCATGACAGGATTTAACGACAGGATAAAGTGAGAAATATGGACCTGCGTCTAAAAACTAAACTCACCAAAGTATTGAATCGAATCCATCAGCAAAAATGGAGATGGGAAGGTCACATGATGCGGGAAAATAAAGGAAAATGGAGCAAAGCTGTTACAGAATGGTGGATGGACGCAGAAGCCGAGGAAGGCAAAACATAAGATGGGAAGATGAGATCAAGTTGACAGTGGGACCAATGTGGAGAAGGGTTGCTCAGGACAGACAACAATGGAAATCGTTGGAGGAGGCCTATGCCAAAAGGCACACCGAATTAAGAGACATAGTGTAACTAATATCATGTAACATGAAAATGAACCTTTGTAATCTCTTACTTTGGTATAAGGAGCTATTATATCTTTATATATATAATTCTTCTGTGAGTGTGTATGTCACTGAACTTCTCTCAAACGACTGGACCAATTTTGATGAAATTTTTTGTGTGTGTTCAAGGGGATCTGGGAATGGTTTAGATTCACAATTTTGTCCGCTGGACAATGTTTTTTTAATTAATTTTTAATTTATTAGTAGTTGTTGATTTTGGAATGTTTTACATGAGATCAGACAGACGGCGCTACCATCGCAGTGTCAAATTTGACAGGACAACGTCTGTCGGGTCCGCTGGTATTATATATATTATTGGCAAGTGATGAATCATAAGTGCTCACAGCCTACCTGATAATATTGTCTGAAGAACTTCTTATCAAGAAGACCCTGTTAGTATGATATAAGATAACAGTACAATCTATTGGCAATTAAGTATTGTGATTATAAGTATTAGTGTTATTAATAACAACTGATGATAACAATCAGTATTATTTGTTTCACCCCTATTTAATTTTGATTGCATGTTAAATCTTTCTAATTTAATCACTACTTGTAGATCATTTCGTTTTTTTTATGGTATAGGGGGGTAAACGAGCAGCAGTGAGCAGCAGTGACCACCGCTCCGGGGGGGGGGGGCTCCTGTTACCTTACGGTAATGAAAGAATGGCTTCAATTTTGCTTTTCTTTTAAGTTGATTCAAATTTGTAGGTATGTTCATTTATCTTAAAGCTAGAAGATTAGGGTGAATGGTGAGACAACCAAGCTTCCCTGAGGATATGTAAATGTGTTCAACTAAACAAACAAACTTTTCAGCTTTTTGAATTTACCATAGATTTGCTCCTTCAATATAGGTCTTAAAAGATTTTTATAGCATAATTTTGTCATTTGTTGGAAGAAATTGAAAATGTGTGATAGTGATTTCAAGTTTAATCATTCTTGTTTCATAATGTGTATATTTATTAAATAAATAGTGTTGATATAGCAGGTGCGTGTGCCGTTGTGTGCATTGCATTGGCCAATCAGTGATAAAAGACCTTTTACTTTTATTAATATTTTCATATCTATGTCATAAATGATTGTTAATAGTGATTCTTTGTTTAACAATACCTAATGTTTTTTTTTTATTAATTTCAAATATAGAATTAGGTCATCTTTTTAATTTAAAAAAAATGTGATGCATTTACATCATATATGTGTTAGCTTTTATTAAAACAAGGTCTTTTATGTTTATTTAAGATATATAGCTTAATATTAAAAGCATTTTAGTGAAGGCTGATTAGCATCAGACTCGAAGAGAGCCTTTTTCAAGGACATGTGTGGTCTGAATTAGTTGCAGCAAGACATTGTACTCCCACCTGCATCCCCTTAAGTCTGAACCTGGTAGGCCTTCACTCAACCATTTATCCTTAATAAATATAAAATCTTTTTTATCTAAATCTTTGACTATTATTAAATTAGATATTTTACAGTAAAAAGATCTTTTACCACCAACTGTTACACTGATAAATAATACAAATATTGACCTCCCGGATATACTCCTGGGTTCTGCCACATCGTCCCACACTGTCAAAAGAGATAGCAATAGTTTAGAAATAATAAAAGTGGTACATACACATGGTATTGTAATTCGGCTGGTCTTTTGATGTAAGGTTTTTGGAAGCCGTTTTGATTTGTTATCACTTACAGGTCACTGTTAAATCTGGAACAATTAAAACAATAATAAAGTACATTTGGGGTAATTTCTTAAGCTAATATCAAAATTTTAAAGATTTTCGCTTCTAGATTATTCTTTTATCTTGATATTTTAAACAATGGAAGTTATGTTTGCTTTCTACAAGTGTGATAAGCTTGTTTAAACATTTATCAAATATCTTGTCAGGTCTCAGACAAGTGTCTGAGTATTTTTTATGTAAGGAAAACGAGCAAGAGAGTCAGGTAATGGTAAATGACTACCGACACCCATGGTCTCCACTCACAGTCATGATTACGAAATTTGGATAAGTTCGCTAATTGTAAAAACACTAGACGCAGTTATTAGTATAGTATTGTATAATATTATTTTGTAAATGCAGTAATGAGTATTTTTTGAAAAGTCGTTTCAAAAACAGTTGCAAAATGGTTAGTTACCGTGGCTTATAAGAAAAAGAAAAAACGTGTGCCTCTATTTTATATTTATGATTTGACATCGTAAGATTTATATTTAAACGTGTACACTTATGTCGCAATAAGAACTTAAGTTACTTGAGTTCTTATTGCGACATAAGTGTCTACACTTATCAATACTTCATCGATAAACGCACATGAAATATATTAATAATACTGAAGGAATAAAACAGAAATTAGGTATACGACGTTGTGTATTGATCTTTGTATGACAACACAAAGTGGTGCAATATTAATTGTTTTATTTCCGTTGAAATGTCATTTCACCAACAATGCATGCGTTTCTCTACAAAAACATCTTTAAATCACGGAATCTGAACATTTCCGAAGTGAAAATCAGAATCAGAATTTCGGAAAATGGAAGCCTGGAGAGTATATGACGTGAACGTGACAAAATGATAGAATTAAACAGCAGAAACAACAAGTAAACAAATATTAGATACCTGGTATATGATGTAATCAGTAGAATAGTAACAAAATACAAAGATTTCCCAAGAATATCACAAATATGCGAGAAAAACAACTTTAAATCGCACTAATTCCGTCGCACTACCGTACTCAATCAAACGTTTCAAAAGACTACTACAATATAATTACAAAACAGAGTGATGACTAATAATTCTGGTACCCTATAGGTCAGGTTTTAAGAGAATATGAGTTCTCATTGGTTGATATCTGACAACGATATAATTTGACCAATCGTGTTTCTTTAAAGAGAAAGGTAATCGCGGAATTTCTAGACTACAGATATTGCAATTTTTCACCAGAGTTGCCTTTTCAGTTTATTATCTACTATACACCTCTTTGCTGTGGTTTGTCTATTCCAAAATAATGGTCGTTACTCAAGCAGTAATTTAATTTAATGTGTTTGAAAGTATCGTGCTATAGCTTGTTATTCTAGCACAATACTTTCATTTGGATTATAACTCAAAACTTCATGACCCTATCATGGCAATGAGTTAACTATCTTAAATCGTTTTATTGCACTTATTTGTTGTTGTGTCTAAGAGGTACTATGTTGGATATTAACTTTTCACTGAGTGAGTTAGGTTACATGAGCCCAAACCCGAATCCTCATCCCCTGCCTAAGGGCAAGGGCTCCCACAGAACGGCAACACACTTGTGTCCTTCACACACACACTTGTGACTTCCACATACGGTGAAATAAAGAAATATACACACTGAACTACGGAGTAACTGCTAATCTTGAATAGCGATATTAACATTTCTCTCGCCGATAAGCATGTATACAACTTCTCAACATCAACCGTTGGGCTGCGGAGGATCCATCCTTGGTGTTGGAGGGACATGACACCCGTTACTCCATATGTCTAATGAATTGCAAGTGTCCATGGGCGGCTGTAGTCACTAACCATCAGGTGCCTGTCTGCTCGTTTGGCCCTGTATCATAAAAAATATCACCTAATTTGCACTATACAGTTACCTTGGACAGCAACACCCACATGGAATAGTTTACATCTGGAAAAATCTAAGTCCAAGTGACTAACACCCAAAATTTTTCTTTCGAAGAAATTGAGATCCGTACTCTTGATTCCGTTGACCTTGCTCGCTGTCTAAGAAATGATAGAGCGACTCTATTGCTCTTCATTGAAATAAGGGGTAGAACGTATTCAAATTATTACTTTGTTTCTGCATCATCTCGTCGGTTTTTTGTCGTTATCTTGGGCTTGGGAGGTCATTGTTACTACCTTTAAAGACCGCGACCGTTAGATTGACGGAAAACGAGACTTTTCAGGCATTAATAGCATTTACCTATGAGCAGGGGCGGATCGTGGATTTTTGGGGCCCTGGGCGTAATTAGGAAACGAGGTGGAAAATCCCTTTGGATTGCCAGCGCCTTGGCCTTGGCGCAGTGGTGTTTCCTCAAAAAACCTGCCAGACGTCCGATTTCAGGCGCTCAACTCTGGGAGGACCTGGACCATGTGATTTCAGGTCCCTCTCATATTACTTCTCCCGCTTTTTGGCCCAGTTACTACCTATGTATTGTGGCCCGACCGTGTTTGATACGATTGTGCTAGCGTTTACCTCTAAAATCACAGGTATTCCGTGTTATGGCGCTAACCGTAGGACCAGACCTCTGAACTTTTGGAAGACACAAGCTACCCCTAACTCGGTCAGCTCAGAGTCATTCTCCCCGTAACAGATGACACTCATTTTCCTCACGCGACGTTCCACAGAAGAGGTCCTAGGACCTACGGGGGAGAAACTCTACTTGTACCTCCCTTCAACATTCTTCGCCAGCTCGATCCATGAAGAGATCGAGGCAGTATTTCACTCTAGTCCACCGCCTCTAACTCTGTAAGACGCATGTCCGGCCGCATATGGAATACTATTCTCATCTCTATGAGGGGCACCCCAGTATGTCTAGGGAACAAAAGAAAAGGGCCCTCGCTGATGACACTTTGCCCACGTCTATATTAGTCCACGCTACGCCTCTTTAGACTTTCTACTGAACATACTCAACTTTTTCCGGTTGGAGTGAAAGTAACTTTAGCTGAAGAATTTTATTTTATTTTGTGCTGAGCTGAAACAAAATAAAACAAAATTCGCCAAGTTAAATCGGTATATTTGGACCATAAGTAGATGTATAGAAAAAAAAATCAACATTATTTTATTTAAAACTTTGGGAATTATTATTTCATTGTTGTCTTTAAAAATAATAACAGACGGCATATACTCGTATCATAAAATTAATTGTACTATTTACATAAATTAATTACAATGAAATTCAATTGGTAAGGGCAGTGGGGTAAAATCTAAAGAAATATTTTAATTTACTTACCTTGTTTAATTTGTATATGGCTAATTTACGCTTGTACGTGCCAATAGTAACGAAATAAAATTTAAATAAATAATTACAAATAAGTAAGTTTTGTCAATTAAGCACTGTGTACCCACGTCATTTCTTTAACGTGATGCCACCCCGTAGGTGTGCTTGGATGTCAGCCTTAAAACTTTTTTTCACATTTTTTTCTTAACAATGCCAAACATCTTTTTCTTTTGCACTCGCACTTGTACTCGAATTATCGTCTGATGTCATTTTCCTGAAGAGAACGTTTCACTTCTAATGTAAAGAAATAAAGGAAAAAAGAAATTCCCTAAATCAGTAGTTATTGTTGTTGAACACAAGGGTATTATTACATATAACGTACCGTATCATAAAGGATAAATAAATAGCGATTCCAGTGTGAAATTGTTGAAATTCTTTTAAAAATCGGGAGAATTTTCATGTAATCTCAGTAATCGTAGAAAAATCGTTTTCGTTCGGTAATTCGAAAAACCTGTTGATTCGAGATTCGAGACCACCGAGTACAACGCTCGAATGACTCATCAGAAGGTTTCAATTCAGTTCCGATCAACTTTCGATCTCATAACTGTCATAAAAGGTATTTTTGTAGTAAAATAGTAAAGTATTACTAAAACTAGTGGGAATCCCCATTCCCTAATAATTTATCAAACTCGGTCTACTTTAGTGTTGTCTACATATATACCGTTACTAATTAGAGGCTTGCAACTTGTAGCTTGTAGTAAGAGGATACTCTGCTATCTTTTTTAATTTATGACCCTTAAAGTGTCTTATGTAACCACTAAAAAAAATGATATGAAATAGTACTTTCTTGTTCCAGTTAAAGCATCGGTGTTTTATCTGACCTGGACGTCCTGGAGTTTTTAACATTACTTTTAGTCGATAAACAAAAGTCTTAGTTTGGCAACATCAAGAAAATACTAAAGTTTATAGAATAGGTTTATTATAGAATAAGTATAGGTTTATAGATATTGCATTGTATAATCTTAGATGCAACTGTCCCTTACCATGCCGTGGCAACTTGTAAGTAAGACAACACTCAGAAAATAATTGTAAAACATGTTTGTAAATTATGTATTAGTGTATGTTTTGTAAGTTGTCCTATATAAATAAAAATAAATAAATATATAGAATATTCTACTAACAAGTTTGATTCATTGCTATAGGGTAAAAGCCGGATAGTTGCCCCACTTTTCAAAAAAGTTTTTTTTTTTAATATTTACTTGCTGAAAATTATACGATATGTATTTCATAACATAGGTCTTTTATCTTCTATTATAGCCTATTTATGTTAACATAATTAACATTGGTTTTATTAAAATCCTGTTTTATTTGGCCTCTGAAAAAACGGATAGTTGCCTACTGTGGCGTATAGTAGCCTAGCGTGGAAAATCCTTTGAGGGATACTTGCCTCGTGCGAGGATAGTCACCTCGATATATGTTTTTTGGGATAAAAATAAATTTATATCAATTTAATTAATCTTTATCAGTCTTCATAATTTAATGAGATCTTTTATTAAGTACCTACACATTAAAATATTAATTAACATTATTAAACATTCTTCAGTTTTAATGCTTTAAAATATCAAAATATTATTTAAACTTAAGGTTATTATTAATCTTCTCTTCCTTAAAGCTTTTCCCTTGTTATGTTTCATAAACTCTGCGTTATCAGATTCAGTTTCACTGCTAGTCTTATCAATATATTTTTTGGTGTTTTTATTTTTTTGCGGTTTTCCTTTTTTTTTCCTCAATGATTTTCTTGTTACCAGCTAGTTGGTTTTTTACTGACTAACGTTTTTCTTTTTCTCTGTGATAATTGTATTTGTTTTTTTTATTTTTTCGGCTTTATCCTTCTTCTGGACTATTTTATCGTCAGAGTTTAAAATTTCTGCCTATTTAAACAATCTCTTTTAGTCATGCTAAGTGGTATTACAAGTGCTAAGCTATCTTCTGTCTGTTTTCGCTTGTACTTGCGAGGCATTTTGCTTTCCTAAAATAAATATATAAAACAGTTAACTATTTATTTTGTTTAAAGCAAGTTATAAGTCACAGTAAATTGGAAAAAACAACAAAAGAAAAAAAAACTGTTCTTGCTCGATGAAGAATTTACAGTCACTCTAGGGGCAACTATCCGCAAAAGTAAGTAGGGCGACTATCCTTTTTGATGCAGATACTTGCCATTTTTATTTAAAAAATAAAAAAAAACTATTGAGTAATAAAACATAATAAACATTGTAATTTAGACTCTAATGCATACAAAGAAATAAAAAGTTGACTGAAAGCACGATCAATAATAAAAATATTCAACTAAAATTACTTACCAAAATAAGATCAACGCCCGTCAGCGTTTTATAGCGGAAGATTTTTGCTCACACGGACAAAACACGTTCGCCTACTCCGATTGCTTACATGGCACTGAGGCCTGTGGGGGGTCACTTCTTATTGTAGTAAAGCGCTAACATAACTAATACTCCTATCATAGTGTATTCAAAACCGGGGCAACTATCCGTCTGAGGCAACTATCCGGCTTTTACCCTAAGGCCGAAAAAGCTTAGTCTGTAAAAAAAATATTCATGAAATTCAATGTTACGTCTTTCTAGTTTTTAACCTGATTTCTCCTGGGGTTTTTAAACAAAGATAAAACCAAAAGATTTTTAAGAGTGTTATCCCTAATGTTTTTTTAATAACAATGATAAATGGTCAGGTTATTATAGAAGATAAAATATCAGCCTGAGTGGCAATTGTAATAATTTTAACAAGACAATCTTAAAAATATCCAATAGGTCGATGCTCAGATTCTTTATCTTTAACTCAAACGACAATTGAGTGACAGTCAAAGAAAAATAAGAACATAACCTCAAAGGCCTCAAACTGTAAAGTCAAAAATATTTACACTAGTTACACTTTAACGAAGTTATCACCTCATATAACTGTCACTTCACTTAGAAACATGAGTATTTTACTTAAATGTCCAGTAAAAGCGCTACAAACGACAGGTTAAAGCATTCACTTTTCTGAGGACATAAGTTTCTTTTGCAAGTGACTTTGTTTTCTAAATTTCTTTGCATTTTCAGTATTTTCTCGTGCTTTAAGCAGTACGGCCGCGTTAAGTACGAAAGAGTGGAGAGCAGAGCGTGGGCTTCCTGCGAATCGCAATGCCGAGGGTATTCTCACGGATGGCCCTGACTTCACCTATCAGGATGGGCGACCAACTCCTCTTTTGGTAAACTATCTATGCATTTGTAGCTGACTTGAAATACTTTTCTGTGTATTCATAGTGACTATAACTCAATATAGTGACCCATTAGTAATGTAAACTGATCTATTAACTTCCAGTACTAATTTAACTATTGTATAGTCATGCACATCATATATAATATACCTCTGTTTTATAGCCATTTTGATTCTGGTCTGATTTTATCCTAATTTTTAATGGAAAAAACAGTATTCTTAAATGGTTTTGTTAGCAATTTTCTCAAATAATCAATTGATATATGTAAAATGTTAGCACAACCAACCATCTTGATGATCCAAATGCTTATTTGCCACTATTGCAATGCAAAAAAGTAAGTTAGACTGCAATGGCCATCATTGGTAGTGGTTTAAGCGGTCGCCACCCCGCTTCCTACTACGTCGAGTGTTGTCGGTTCAAACCCCACATGGGACGACACTTTGTGTGATCCACAAATTGTTGTTCTGAGTCTGGGTGTTCTTTGTGTCCGTTTCATGTTTGTTTGTAAAGTCCCCTGCGACACAGGATATATTCCAAATGCGGGAGTTGTCTTTTTAAAAAAAAAGAAAGAAAAAAAGAAAAGTTAGTAAAAGTTTACATGTTTACAGTTAGATCAATGAGAAAAAATAGACTTGATCAAATGGTGCCTAGAAATGCACATATACTATAGATGAAAGTTATATACTGATGTTAAAAAAGGATGAGGTTCTTAATTTGGTCTAGTGGTGGAAATTATTGCTACTTTTAAATTATAATCATTATGATGAAATGATTGGTCATAATCACTTTGATTTTACCTCTGATAAATGATGTGGTCATTGACAAAGATGCAGTCAAAATCAATCAAAATTAGTTAATCAACCCCCCTTTTTTCTAGATTTAGACCTTTCCCGAGCGGGGCTATCGTAATAATAATAAGTTGCAGCACTTGTAATTTAGTCACAGTTGTGATTGACATGATTTATAAATGATATATCACAGTTTTTTTTTTTTATTGTTGATTATTCCATCCCTAATTTGGATGTATTCTTTTATTTAGGCAAATTATTTTCTTATTATTGTATACCTACGACCAGTATGGACCCAATAAAATTTGAAAAAAAATGCCACTCAGTCTAGAAATATTAAAGAAAGAGTTTGTGTGACTATTAACTTTGATTGGTTGCTAAAAAGCAGTCTCCTCAAAAATTCGGGAAGGCCCACTTTCAAGTAGAAAAAGCAGTAGATAAATATTGTACTTCTAAAGAAGTACAATTCTTTACTTCTAAAGTAAAGAATTTTTTACTGAAAAAAAAAAGAAAAAGCAGTAGATAAATATTGTACTTCTAAAGAAGTACAATTCTTTACTTCTAAAGTAAAGAATTTTTTACTGAAAAAAAAAAGAAAAAGCAGTAGATAAATACTGTACTTCTAAAGAAGTACAATTCTTTACTTCTAAAGTAAAGAATTTTTTACTGAAAAAAAAAAGAAAAAGCAGTAGATAAATATTGTACTTCTAAAGAAGTACAATTCTTTACTTCTAAAGTAAAGAATTTTTTACTGAAAAAAAAAAGAAAAAGCAGTAGATAAATATTGTACTTCTAAAGAAGTACAATTCTTTACTTCTAAAGTAAAGAATTTTTTACTGAAAAAAAAAAGAAAAAGCAGTAGATAAATATTGTACTTCTAAAGAAGTACAATTCTTTACTTCTAAAGTAAAGAATTTTTTACTGAAAAAAAAAAGAAAAAGCAGTAGATAAATATTGTACTTCTAAAGAAGTACAATTCTTTACTTCTAAAGTAAAGATTTTTTTACTGAAAAAAAAAAAGAAAAAGCAGTAGATAAATATTGTACTTCTAAAGAAGTACAATTCTTTACTTCTAAAGTAAAGAATTTTTTACTGAAAAAAAAAAGAAAAAGCAGTAGATAAATATTGTACTTCTAAAGAAGTACAATTCTTTACTTCTAAAGTAAAGAATTTTTTACTGAAAAAAAAAAGAAAAAGCAGTAGATAAATATTGTACTTCTAAAGAAGTACAATTCTTTACTTTAGAAGTAAAGAATTGTACTTCTTTAGAAGTACAATATTTATCTACTGCTTTTTCTACTTGAAAGTGGGCCTTCCCGAATTTTTGAGGAGACAGCTTTTTAGCAACCAATCAAAGTTAATAGTCACACAAACTCTTTCTTTTAAAAAAAATCTGATTTCCTTTAAATATCAGCTATGATGTAGCAGTAGTGTGTACACGGAAAGTAAAGCCTTTTTTTTTAAATTGCAGCATAAACAAATGAAGAGGCTAAAGAGACAGAGAGAATATGCAACAAAAATGGTTGAGTTGTGTTCAGAGTTGGACTTCGCGAAAGAGAGATTCAAGAAATTAGAAGAAGCCAAAGAGCAAGAGAGACAACAAATCATTAGCAACAGACTTAAGCCCAAAGGAGATGCCTTAACTCAAAGGAAGAGAAAGTAGATTTTATACATAATATTATTTTATTTAGTTGTAATGTAGGTTTGTTTGTAAATAATATTATTACCTGACTTGTGGTTTTATTTCATTTATTTAGCTCATTTTTGAATATTCAAAAAGAGAAAATATGTACTGCATTTTAAAGAACCACTATTTTAAAACCAATGTGTGTAGCGCCATCTATTAGTTCTCAGCTTAAATTATACCTTCTATAGTTCGTAAAGGCTTCTGAACATTAGCAACAGATGGCACTCTTGTATATGCACTTTTTTCTATGAAATACACAGTTTTGGTTAATTTTATTATGTTTGTGATAATATTATTGTATTTTATTACAGTTTTAATAAATTAACAGTGTTATGTAAAAATTATTTACATCCGATATTTAATATTAAAAAAAATCTCCATTAAAACGATTTGTGGTTTAGTCGGTGGCAAACAAATTAACAATATGCTGTATTCGAATTAGTTATAGAAGTATAGTATAGTATATATGGCATACTGTAGCGCTGGTATCTTCGTAGAGCAAATTTCGTAGAACTGCTAAACTTTTGCAGAATCCCTGTTTCTGCCTAATGATGATTAGAACAATTTATTTTGATACGAAAATTTTCGGAATGTGGTGGTCACTTAAGTAAGTTTACCTGCTGCGTTACCTGCTAGCAAGGCTAGAGATCCACCGCACGCTAAGATACAAAGTGACCTTCGTAGCACCTTATTTAATTCACGACATAAGTAGAAACCCCAAAACCAGTTCCTTGATCATAACCACGAAGACTATTATCCACAATGCTATAATATCCATACTGCTCCGACCACCATCTCTTTTCTTCGATGCTTTTTTGCCATTGTCAACGTTCTTGGAAAATAGGCAAATATGTAGGTACTTAGTTAAGGCGTGAAGAAAGAGGAAACTCATTTTCGTATTTATGTAATAATAATAATATATTCTACCACATACACACAACGCCATCTAGTCCTAAACTAAGCAGTGCTTGTACTATGGGCACTAGAAAACTGATATAAATACCTATTGGTCCTTTTTTTTTAAATACATAAGTACATATTATACATTGAAACACCCAGACCACATCAAATGTTCATGCACACAAATGTTTGACTTGAGCGGGAATCGAACCCGCGACCTTTGGAATATCAGTTCGTTACACAAACCACTTCGCCATCCAGTCGTCAACTGATACTGATTTATGTGCGTAAAATCCGTGTGGTGACGGATTAAAAAAAAGGAGCGTCACCACCACCCCTGTTCATCCCACTGGTGTCGTAAGAGGAGACTAAGGGAGCAAACTATGACAACAGCACTACAAAGATAAGGAAAACATGAAATAAACCCTAAACCAACCCGTCTGGCCAGTGTGGTATAATAGGCCAAAACCTCCTTTCTAAGGAGAGACCTATGTCCAGCTGTGGACTATCAAAATCTGTTGATGTGATGTGATGACTAAAATATTAATAAGTTATACACGGTGTAAGGAACGTCGTAACAAATACTGAAATAGTGTATTCAGACCGTCATTCTGAGTCGAAAATCATTGGAATTTTTATTTATGTTGATGTGATGATATTACCTATACATATTTTGGTTAGAGGGCTCTGGCTCTTCAACAATAGCTAATTCGAAATTCGAGCTATTACTTACATTACCAAGTCCATCCGATAAGCTGAGCTGCGCAACTTCGTTTTGCGTCTCTCAAGAGGAATAAATTTTGAAATGGTGTATGACGCTGTGGCAGCGCTGTTATGAAATTCGACGCTGTGGCCTGTTTCTTTCGAGAATAGCACTGCTGAGCGCGTAAGTGAGTACTAGCTTATTCAATCAAACAAACTCTTCACTACTCTTCAGCTTTATATTAAGTGATGATGATGATTCCTACCTTCGCTTTCTGTTCTTATCTATCTTCCGTTTATATAAATGTTCAATTTTCCCACTTAATTCTTAATAAATCCGGGTGTTGGTAGTAGATCTGCTCTATATTAAGACTAGAATTATTGTTGACAAAATGTAGATCTTTAATGCGCAGCTGTCGATCCTTCCGGAGATGTGCACATGAGTGTAGATACATATATATTATATATGTACAAAATAATATAATAATAATAATCATAATTATAATAATATTTTCAGACATCTCACACACGGCCGTCTGATTCCAAACTAGGCTTAGCCTGTGCTGTGGTAACCAGACTACTGATAAACAAACTTATATATTTATAAATACATACATATTATAGATAAAGTACACCCAGACACAGAACAGAACCCAGACACGATCTAGGTGGGAATCGAACCCACGACCTCTGGCTTAGCAGTCGGGGACACTAACCACATGACCAACGGCCCCGTCAAAAAAATAAAAGAATATGTAAAATTATGTTGTAATATTTTATAAATAAGTGAATTTAGATTAGATAAGTAACGAAGAAGCTTCACAAACGCTAAAATAAAAAGTTATTGTTTAATTTATTGCAGGTTTACGCCATCCGGATGTGTCAACTACTGTACTGTACAAATCACAGAACTAATAATCTAAGCAACAAAGCCTTTTTATGTGGTACAAATATACCTGACTAAGTTGTCGGTAAGCCTACCTTTTTAAGAACACTCAAAAACCCAATCTTACTGTCTAATAACAAAGAAAGTCAATAATAGACTGAGTGGTTTCATCAATTACACAGTTTAATCCGAGCAGACGGTTCAGGAAAATTAATAGTGTCTCTCTCGAGTCCAATAAATAGATATGTACCTAAAAATCTTCTTAAGTGAACAAATTTAAGAGGTCAAATATCATCTATTTTGTAATAGTCTTATAATCACGAAAACTTTATATGTAAATATATCACACATAAACTACACACAGATACATGCCAGTGCCAGCCAGACCGTGGGAGAGCCATGCTTCGGCAAGAATGGGCCGGCTCGACTGGAGTGATACCACGGTCTCACAGAAAACCGGTGTTTTGAAAAAAATCTTTAGTTGCCTTTCACTGAGTGAGTGAGGTTACCGGAGCCCAAATTCTCCCTCCAGTCGGAGACTTCAAGGTCGGCAACGCACTTGTGACTTTTGAGTTGCGGTGACCCGTCTGCTCGTGTGCCCCCTTATTCCATAAAAAAAATACAGAACAAATGATCGTGCTCATCATACCATTATTTGTCCTGGGTGGGAGAATAGTCACTAACTCTTAAACCGGCAGACCCGCTTTGGACAACAATTTGGAATCTTAGAACTGTATTAATGATGGAGCTTACAGGTGAATACTGGTCGATCAGTCTTTAGAGCTTTTAATTTTAGTCTTACTAAACTATAAGTGTTTATAGTCATTGCTTCTATAGAGCAGAGGGCAAGGCGGCAACGAATCCGTGATTAAAATTCATCAATAGCATTTACGATGCCGTAGTGGTTTGAGAGTCGCCACGCCGCTCACTACGACGCTGAGTGCTGTGGCTCCGATCCCCACAAGGGACAACACTTTGTGTAATACATAAATTGTTGTTCTGAGTCTGGGTGTCCTTTGGGTCCGTTTCATGTATGTTTGTAAAGTCCCCCGCGACACAGGATTTATTACTAGTGCGGGAGTTATCTTTTTAATAAAAAAAAAATGTATATTGAAAACTACAGTCTTTTTGAAATGTATTTTTAATTTTACTCATTTCGTAATTATCTCCCAAACGCTGGCAACCCTGACCAGTTTATTAGCTAGCCCGGCTGGACTGAGTGAACAAAACCGCTAAACTAAACCTGTTATCTATGCATTTCAATACGATTATGTGACCCGTGCATGATCCAATTTGTTGCGTGAGCTCCACCTGACAGAACATTATTTACGTTGTTAATTTTGCTCACTAGTTCTCAATAGAATCTAATATTTGAATTTTGTTTATAAGCCGTTCTGTTGCCATTTAAAAAAGGATTCCAGTAAATGCTTATCGATGCGTGAACTTAGTGCTTATTTTCTACATTGGAAAACAAGAACATCGCTTGCCTGAGGAAGAGATCACTTATTTAGTATCACTGTAAATACCTTCTTCTGTGTGTATTTTTAACTAAGCATCATCATAATCACTTGAGCCGAAAGACGTACAAGGTTCGCAACAAACAACCCATCCTATGCTGCCCACATCCAATGGCTGCCCGCAACATTCACCAGGTCTTCGAGCCACCTTGGTGCGGCCCTACCCACGCTCTGTCTTCCGGTACGCGGTCGCCATTCGAGAACTTTTGGCCACATCGGTCATCGTTTCTGCGAGCAATATGCTCCGCCCACTGCCACTTATGTTTGGCAATGTGGGTGACCTTGGTTCGTCTATGGTTCTTCTTATTCCTGATTTGATCACGTAGAAAAACTCCGAGCATTGTCCTCTCCATAGCCGTTGCCATTGCCTTTTTATGAGGCCTTTTGTAAGCAACTACATCTCTGTGCCAAAAGTCATTGCTGACAACACACACTGGTCAAAGACTGATTAAGCATGGTCAAATAAATTCAGTAGGCGAAATATGAAGAACTGTAAACTAGCTTCAAGATATTCTGTAACTAACTATATATGTAAATAGTAGGCCAAAACCTTCTTTCTAAGGAGAGGTCTATGTCCAGCAGTGGACTAGTAAAGGCTGTTGATGATAAATAGTAGTGGTGTTACTAGAGCCTTAAAACTTTATGTGATCATTTTTAAATAGGGCTAGAATCGCACCGAGAAAATCGTTTGTGCGTCATTCGAATAGGTGTTGACATTTAGCCGTTCAGTTCTTGGGTATGCAGTAGACGACGTTGGGACATCCACTCTGACAATTCTTTGAGAGATGTTTTTTTCTGGAGAAGGTGAGGACCGCCGTAAAATATTAGGCGTGATGGTAGACAGTCAAATGTTTTGTTTTAGGACAGTATAATTCCGTTACGACGATGATGATACAGATGGGTGGATGGGGAATGGTGAGACTCAACATCCTTGTACTTCCTTCACTGTACTAGTATCTCGAAAGATAACT